TATGTTCCAGTGCTCCACAAAAGTTGTCTTTTTTAAGCCAAAACCTGTTTTGCAGATTTAGTCAGCTGAAACAATCTTAACGTACATACTCCACCAACTCACCATCCATCTCCAACTCTCTTTTTCCAAAGTCCCTCCTTCCTTTGCCTCACTTTCATAATTTCTCTCCGACTTCTATCCAGTATAATTTCACCCAAAGTTGCACTTCAGGAAACATTTCCTGTGAAACTGCAGGCAGTCTTTCAAGACACAGTCATTTAAAAAAGCTACACACATTTTTATATTTGCTTTCCTCTCACTGACAAATGACTCCATGAAATGCAAAACTCTTAAATCATCACGCTACTCACATTGACCAATTTCAGTACTTGTTGCCACAATTAAGTATGTGGCTACACACAAAAAACTCTACCAGCCTAGTGCCCCACGCAGATAAGCTGTGAGTGCATAAACTCCTATTTCTTAAACATAACCAGCTCACTTCTGTCGTGTCTGCCCAGATCACAGCTTCCCACTTAAGCCAATTTGGAATCAGATAAAACTGTCAATGAGACTCAAGATCAAGCCAGAGTGCTACAACAAAATGGTAAAGGCTGAAGAACGGGCATTTCTTCAGCCAGATCAAAGTTTTTGACATTAACATTAAGTTAAAAGTTTGGGCTCACAAGATACTTTAATTTTCTTTCTACTAGTGCTACTGATTTTTTATCTGTAAGATTCAAATTGGTGTGTGTATGTGCAAGCTTCCTTTAAGTTTCCATTTCTAAAGCTAGATCCTGCCTCCGAAGCGACACGGAGTATTCATCATGTGTTCTCCTGATCCGCTCCAGGGTCTTGGATGAATCAGAGTTTACACAGTGGACCAGACCATAAGGCCTCTTTTTATGGAACATTTAGGAAGTTTTTTTGTAAAAAAAATACAATATTTACTCTTCCAAGGCATTCTGGTCTTTAGGCTTTTATGATTTAGCAGGAAATTATTACACTTTCCACAGCATAAGGCTTTTTCCCATCTTTTATTTCCTGGACAGATTTGTTTTATAAATAGCTGTTTTCTTAACTGAAATACTCTGATCTTGCTTAAATGGAATTATTTTTAGTATAGGCTTGAGAAAGAAATCATTCTAACGTTGTAACAATGAACATTTCAGTGAGATGTACAGTTGATTTTAGCACAGCTGTAACCTCCACTGCAGAATGATGCTCTTTCTTGCTTGTATAAGGGCAAATATATTCAATGATATACAGAAAGCACTAAGTTGGGTAAAAACTAAACAAGTGTTCAGAAAAAAACCCTGTAACATAAGGAGTTACTAAATTGACAGCACAACATTGCATTTTAACTTTTTACTGTTAGCTGCACTACGAACTAGCCTGATGTAGCATTGATCTGGCCACATAATGAGCTACCTAAAATTTGTGTTTCAAAGGGAATCACTGCTATGATTTGTCATTCAGCATATACACAGAGATCAAAAAATAGTCTGGATTTTCCATCCCTTACTTGAAGCAGGTGCTGCTAGGGAATTGGGCCATCTTTTGATCACTTCAAGGATCAGCCGTTGACTTTGCAAGCAACAGAAAGCGATACATGGACCGGTTCCTCATAAATACTATGAAAAAGAGGATGTTCACTTGCTCCTTAGTCCAGTATATTGCAGTTGATTTATATAAGTCAGAAGAGTTATCTCAAGTTTTATAAGCCCATGAAAACTACATATTACTACTCCTTGGAGGAAACCAGGAAACAGCCTTCTGGCCCAGGACCTATTGGCAAAGTAGATCTGGATTTCTTGACGAGGAAATGTAATTTTTATGGTTTTCTTACGGCGTTCAGAAGAAAGGACTGGACTATATATGCTCTGGACATAAAATGTGAAACTAAGAAAATAGTAGCTGACCTGTGTCATCAATATGTTCCTTCCGTGGAAAAACATGGCAAAGCCACTGGCAGAAGGGGTAGTATTTCAGATAATGACTACAAGGAGCCCTGGTGAAACCAGTGCTCAGATGCACCTATTTTCAGCAAGACGAATGAGGAGATATGAATACTCTCATTTTATCCCCAAAAGCTGCATTTCTATTGTATTTTGTTCGTAGGTAAAATATGTTATTGAAGAGAATGACTGTTTAGTTACTGTGACTAATGACAAGATTAGACAGGGTTAACTTTTTTAGAGCACTGCAAGCAGAAAATAATGCTTTCCTTCCCCACTGACTTTTCTGTGAACGCGTACCATTTAAACCTTTGTTTCTATTCTGCTTGATTTCTTAACAAGCGTATTTTCAGGTACTTATTAATTAGGAAAGAAAAAAAAAAAGAACACAGAATCAGGTCAATTGACATACTCCCTGTTTTCAAGATTGAACCTATTTCTTCCTTAAAAAGATTTAGAAGGAAAGCATCCTTAAAAATGAGCATTTAATGTAATAAATAAATGGAATTTATGCTGAGCTTGAGATAGCTATTGATGCACAGAGCACAACTGGAAGACACAACGGGTGAATACCATTTTGTAATGACCTTCCTACGGCGATCTGCCCCATGCTACAACTGTTGTGTAGGAAGAAATCTTTTCTTAAGTTCAAACCGTAAGATTTAAAGAAAAAAAATATTTGCTTGCCTTAAGCTTTTCTAACGAGCATTAATATGCAGCTCGACACACTGTAATAGGCTGTGTCCAAGAAGCTCAGACACAGTGTGAGAGAACGCTTCTTGGTTTCTTCTTCACACTATTTGCTTTAAAATTAAAGCTGGGCAGGCTCTGTGGAACCTGCATCCAAATTAATCTCGACAATCTTCTAGAAAATCTCCATTAAAGCTCAAAGCTTAAGAGCTTAATGTGTACATAGTTTCTGCTTTGAAATAGAGCCAGAGGCTCTAACCCCCAGAACTGATCTTGTATTCATTTTTTGGTTTCATTCACCAGCACACAAGAAAGGCCAACGCTTGTTAACGTCTGAATTTATGATTTTTTAAAGCCTTTCAGTATGGCAACAGGTTTTGTTTTCTCTCCTGAGTTTGCTTGTTAATAACCATAAACTGAGACACCTGGAAAGAGCTACACTTTGATGACTACACTTTCATGTCATCTCTGAGCAGCAGAACATCTCCATGGAGCTCCTGGTCCTCTCCAGGGAAACACCTTGTCCTCATCAGAGGTCATGCTACCTAGCCAATTATTTTAGTTTCATTATGTTATTATTATTACTTTTATTCATGACTGAAAATAATCCCAGGTGAAACTCCTGGCCATAAGGAGATGCCAGGAGGTGGGATGTCAACCCAGCCAAGAACCAGTGTAATGAGCTAATGATGCCTGAACTTCAAGTAATTCCTCACCCGTCATCCTGGTTGAGATGTGGTACAGCCACAGTAATGCCCGGGGTAACGGTCCCATGGGATCACCTTCCTGGCTCCACTTGCCCTGCCCCATCCCTAAAGCCTTGCCTGGAGATCACAGGACTGTGGTCACCCACAATACCAATATCATCACAGAGATTTAGTTAGTGTATATATATTTATGTGTTATTTTTATATACATAATGTATTATAAATAATAGATGCTATTGTTGTTGTTATGTTTTTTCTTAGTCCAATACTAACTGGAGAAAAACTAATTTAAAGTTGAATGAATATAGGCTACTCCTTGAGTTTATGTTACTGAATGTCCAAGTGAAGGTACTGTGCATGTTTTCCCAATTCTGGAAGTCTTATGTTTGAAAACACATAAAAAAGCAGGTCAGAAATAAAACTAGATCAAGCACGTGACATGGCAGGGTAAAAACTAGTATGTCCATTTTAGGGAGACCTGTCATCTGATATGGCTGCGTGGGATTAATTTTTCATCCAAAACATTCTTTTTAAGGGGGTGTATCATTACTCAGGTCACTAGTTTGCAAACTGTAAGATCTTCTAGATCATACAACAGCGCTCTTCCCTGAAAACCTCTCTCTGAAAAAAGCAGCAACTTCTGGAAATGAAGCAGTAATTGCTAAAACATTTCCCTATGTTGAAAAGTAGCCGAATCCAAAATAAAAAAGAAAGCAATCAGTTACAGCTTCCCCCTCAAGAGAGGTGAAAGGAGTCCAGTTCCGAAGGATTTTGATCACATCCCCATCCACCATCAAGAGAAATCATCTCTCGGGTATAATTTTACCCCTTGCACTGCTTCTGCACAGCAAGGGGTTGTCGGTTCTGGGGGGAAATGATACACTGGGGAATACTGTGAGCTGGGACAAGCCTGTTGTAGTGAAGCCTTCATAATGATGGGATTACTTACAGCGTCACATTGGCTTGGGTAATTTTTTTTCTCTAGGATTCAGTGACATTATGCATCTATTTGATATTGTTTTGCTGACATGAAACATAGCCTGTTCCTCACTGCTGTGGCACACTTGAATTATTGGGATACTAGACATGGCTTTGGTAAGGACCATTTGTTCCAGTTTCAGATGGCAGAACAAACCAAAGGAAAGTTTGAGAGAGACAAATTTCAGGAGTGAAAGACTGGCTTTATGTCTTCCTTGTTACTCCTCTAACCCGTATTTTATTGCAACCTACAGTTTTTCCTTCTCTAGAAACTTGCATTTTACCTCTAGAAGCACAAGAACACACTTTGCTTCTTTCTACAACAGTTTACAAATCAGATTTTTCCCTAGGGAGGGTGGCGGGGTTTTTTGTTTTTTTTTAATGGGTATTTTCTTTAATAAGGTATGCTTCGAATGACTCATATTAAAGCTTATTCTCTTACACCTCGGCTGTGTGACTCTTTGCCAATGAATAACTCACAATGGGAATGAAACTAAACTGCAACAAGACTCCTCTTGGGGCTCACCCTCCTTTTGGTTGGAGGATATAGCTTACAGATGGTTAAACAGCAAATAAAAAAAAAAAACAGATGAGAAGGAAACAAATCAAATACTGCACTCACAAAAAAGTCAAAAGATGAGGACGGCAGTTTCACTGTATTTTTTGATAAAGTAAACAAGTGTCATACCTTTTTAAAAATTCCATATACTCAGTATGCTTGATGAGGCCTGTCCTCATCATTATTGTTTGAAAACATTGCCGATCAATAGCCCAAAGTTTCACATTTACGAGAGCTGGAAAAAACAAGACAAGGGGAAAATGTAATTAGCAAAATGTCAAAATTTGAAAAACCTGTTGTGAACTGCAGAGGAAAATGAATTCATTCATGAGAAAGCATGAAAATGGGTACACACTTCAAAACAGTAACATAAAACTCATCCGCTGGACAATGGACTGAGCATGCACTGAAATGATCTGAAATACCCTCAGTTTTAGCTGTCATACATGGGCTTTTGAAAAGATCACCTAAAAGCAACTGTGCGATGACAAAAAATCAATGCAGGCTGAAAGCAAGCAAGATATAGCGGGTCAGTTCATCGTAACCTGGCACATAACATTGCCTATGACACCGAGTGATTTGGGGAAATTTTTTGTGCATTATCCTGTTTCCGAGACAGCAAAATTCATTAAGGTTTCATCCTACTCCCAAAGTAGAAGACAAATTTCTCCTTGACCTCAAGAGATTTTCCAGAACCAATTCCTGCTATATCCTAATAATTGAACACCTCCTGATTCTGGAGCTTTTGAGTAATTTTTTTCCAACTTTAGTTTTCAGGTCTCTGATAAATTCCAAGACTTCAATGTTACACACCATACGCTATATTATATACTTCAGAAGCAAAGTCCCGTTGTAAAAACGAGCATAACAGATTACCATTGCATAAAGTACAGATGCTCAAAGAAAACAGGATCATGTGAATTGGATGCGCAGAACCCCAAATGGTCCAGATTTTCATCTCAGATGTGGCTTAGACATTAGCATTAACTATAATGCTTGCATACATACAGTTTATAATAGAGTTTCTCCTTAGAGAAACAGTTTAATTAAACAAAACTACTCCAAAGACCTCTGCACTTGTATTAATTTTTTTTTCCAGAGAGTAATTGCAATAAATTTCATCCCCAGATCCCATTTCACTACAGGAAACAGAAATGAGCAAAATGACTTTCAACAAAATATTTACAAATATTCTTGTAAATAAAAATCTGAGAAATGACTTTGCTTTTATTTGCTGCTCCTTTAGTTCACAGACACCCTGGTTAATGATTAGGTTTTTATCCCTAACTGCATTTGCAGGATGTAAAACCTTCAAAGTGCAAATTCAAATTTTTCTTCTCAAATCGCAGAACTAGGTGAATGCATCACATCGTTTAAAGCCTCTTTTCATTTTCAAGAGGGAAATTCCTTTTTGAGCATTTTTTAGTTTTATAACCAAACTGATGGGAAAGAATGACCTATAGCTATAGTATGAGAGATTTTTGTAAAAAAAAATTAGTCTTTCGCTCTCTTCAGAGTGGAAGAGACAATTAATATGAATGGGATCTCTGTTTTTCTGCTTTTTTACTGTCTTCTGCAAAATAGGGGGTTTAGTTGATTTCTAGATGAGCTCTATCCTAGAGGAAGAAATTAATATTAACAAAGGGGGGGGGGTGCGACTCACTGAAAAGGACAGTCTCCTGCTGTAATGCCTGATGAGGAGGAGAACTGGTATCAAGTCAATAAAAACTCAGAAAAATCCCAGTAAACTCACTAAGATGAGGAAAATACTATCTTGTAAAGTAGGTGTTTTCTATCTAGGTGAACAAATGTAGGTGATTTTAGCCAACCTGGCCATTTCAGGGTGGTTTGTATTCAGTGTGATGTACGATTGTCACACAAGGTAAAAAGGCAACTTGCTTAGTCATGAATAGCAAAACCACTGGTAATTCAGTATTTTAAAAAAACATGTAGAGAATGTGAAAATAAATGAATGAAATACAGGTTGGTTTTGTTTGTTTGTTTGCTTGGACTAAAATATCCAACAGCATCCCAGTGCCCTATAATGAATGCATACCATAAACACATCTTATTAGTTCATCAGTTCCAAAGTATGGCCATCCTTTAGAGTAAAATTCAAGTTTTCACCTCTATTTCTTTCACAGAGTCTTTGTAGCAAAGACATGACTGTTAAGGTGATGCCACTAGCTGAGTAAGCTCAGAAGATAGCACATACTTCAATTCACCTTTTTTTTCTATTGTCTCATGTAATTCTGAAAGATGGAGCAGCCTTCCTATCAATTTCTGTCTGCTGCTGCTTACCAATGTATTTTAATGGATTCATCATCTTATGCAAACAAGTAGCTCTGAGAAGTGAAGGTTTCATCCCGGTCTCAGTCCTGGACAGCTGCTCCTTAATGGACACGTTCGATTGGCACCTGGCACCAAATTCCTGTTAGGGTCCGTCACAGTGCTCAAGAGCACGGCCTCTGAACAGCAGAGTCCCTACCCGTGGCCCGTCGGATGCATTTATAGGCTATACATCATTACGCCTTAAATCAGTGACTGATGGCAATCGGCTAACTCTTATTTTTCATGCACATAGTGAATGATGAAGGTACTCAGTGCATTTTCCTTCCTGCAACGGGTTCAGATACAGCTGCAAAGATACACCTACCTCTGAGGTCCACAGGGGTACCATGGAGCCAGATAAGTGGCAAACATTTACTCATTCTCCTCTGATCCCCAGATGATTTATGAAGCACTACATCATGTTTGATATCAATCCCCAAAGACCAGAAAGAGTTGCTGCTGCATGGCCTGTGCTAGGCATGTTCTCACTTGGTCTCCTAATGCACTTAGGTAAATGGCAGATGGAATTTAGTACCTCTTGGGCAAAATGAAGATCCATTTATTGCTACTAGGAATTGTTCTGTTAAAACAAATCTCCGCAGCTGGCAATCTTCACGGGAGCACAGGTCCAGAGGTTTACTTGACAAGCCTAGAACAAGTCACATTCTCCTGAAAGTAGCCCCTAGTAACCCAAGGTATATATACGTACAACTATATATATATGTGAATATATATATAAAATTTCATACATACACATACTTACATATATACTTATTTATAATTTTATATGTAGTATATGTAATATAATTATAAAAAATATATATTTTATTATATGGGGGTTTTTTATATATCCTCCAATTATACATACAGGTATGTAATAACTAACTGAACTAACAAGGACCATGCAGCGCAGGAAAAGTTAAGTGCAGACAATGCACTTCTGCACTGCTAATTATAATCACTACTTATACTTTATATTCACATTTATCCTGCCTAATGATAAACAGATGTTTTAATAATGGCTAATCACAGTAGAGCTTTAAATGTCAATATGACCCTTATAATCAGGTGTGAGCTTCATCTCCTGTGATGCTTAAAATCTCCTGTAAATGTGTTAGAAGGTTACTGAAGGAACAGTAGGAATTCTGTAAGATTTGACAACATTAACAACTTAAAAGAAATATATTTATGAGTGCCCTGAGATGAAAAAATTGTATATGGGATGTATACCACAAAGTCAATTCTGCTGTGAATAACCAAGTCATAACAGATACAGACAGAGGTGACACAGATTTTCTTGTCCGTCCCTCTGCAAAGAGCGTGTGTTGGATGTTGGAAGTAAAATTTTCTGTGAAGCACGATTTCAGGAGAATATCTTACTCTCTGACTGCAAGAACTACAAACATAAAGGAATACGATAAATAACATTATGAAAACAGATGTGTGTACATGTATCTGTGATGGGAGTTTCCTAAGTCTACTCAATAATATAAAATATTATAATGCAATCAAAGCAGCTCCACTGGAGTTACTCTACAATTAAAGTTTATTGCCTCTTTTATACTTTTTCATACTAAAATGTTATAGCTGGGGTTTCATTTTATCTTTGTAACAGCACATAACCCAATCACTGATCATCCTAGAAGTCACCAAGATTTTGGCTGGCACACAAAAAAAGTTGCAATGTATAAGGCAGCAATATGCATGCTCACAAACTAAGGTATATTATAAAATATTTATTTGTCATAAACACTCCTCCTTCACTCTGAGACACCAATAGGGATGCCCAGTACTGGGACCTCTAAATGACTGTTTATATGGTATCACCACTGCATTTTTAGGAGCCACAGCTCTCCAGGTGAGGGTATCAGACGATGCTGGGCAGTCTGCAGTCACCGCAGAATATTTTAATTGTGTGTTAGAGATGAGCAATCCCATCAAAACAAGGATTCGGTATGAGCTCCTAACAAAGGTGCTAGATAATTAGAAAAAACACAATTAAAGCACTGAGTGGTTGAATCAACCTCAGCAAAGGCACAGCTTCTTATGCTTTCCTGCAAGATTTCCTTTAAGAAACAGATTCGTCTGAATCCAAAACTCCAGATAAAAGCGATGCGGTGCGAGGGCTGAAACAAAAGCAAAATGCTCCTGGATAAACAGGGAAGAGCAATGAGAGCTGAAGCAAAAGAATTGGGATTTCATGGGTCAAAACTAGATGGGCGTGGAGATACTATCAGTAAAGTTTAAATTTTAAGTGTTCATTGTGGTCAATATTGAACTTTTGATAACAAGTTGACTGAAATTATTTCAATTGTTTCAGAGTTAGACCCCTCTCTACACGAAAAGCACAGATTTAAGCAAATAAACAATTTCAATAAACAATTTCAAACTTCTTTTCCAAAAAGAAGTTTTTCCAAAAGAAGTTTTCTTCTTATTCATTTACCCAGGCAAGCTATGAATATATATCTCATTTTAAACAGGTGAAAATACGTCCCCAGGGATATAGCGTCCCCGACAGAGCCCAAAGCTTGGGCTACATCCTGGCTGGTTTATCCATGTCCACTGGCTTACTTGTGCACCGGGAGGTCTGTGAACATAAAGCAAGGCAAAATAAAGTATATTCTCTGGTTGCCAAGGATCATATGTGCATATCCTTCATGATGCAGCACAAACCTGATGGATTCAACAGCTCAGACCCTCTCTGAGTGTCCTCCCCCTGTCCAAGGCAGGGCACAACTTCAGGGTGACGCAAAGGAGGAAAACTAAATGCAGATTTTTAGGTCGCAGCCAGTCTTTAGCTGGGATTTTACCACTGGCCCATGCAGCCACAGTCCCCGCAGGGCCACCCCGGTGCTTTGCACCACCGTGTCGGAGCCACAGGGATGCCGGGGACAGGAGATGGGC